AATTATAGAAAAGACATAACACTGATCATGAAACCACATTTCAAATGAATTAATACCATTTAATTCTATCAAAATACCTAGAAGTTTGCAAAGCATATTTGTACCAGCTATGATTAATGATCAAATGGAACATATTAATAAGAGTATCTTTAAAAATAATCCTTACTATGATATAGATAGATGTGATATATGATAAAGCATATATGAAAAGAAAAGCAAGTAAATGAAAAGTATAATTAATAAAAATTTTACTGTAATAATATAGAAAAAAGGTGGATCAACATATATTTTGAAAAAGGGGATAGGCCATTGCCTACATTATAGTTTATTAATATCAAAAGAGACAAACAGAAAAATATCATAAGTAACTTGTAGGAAACACTACATATTCTTATAAGTAACTAAATGCAGATCCGTCTATTGGGGAAACCAGGAAAAATGCAGATACCACAAAGTAGCTGAATATTTAGAAACAGGTGTAAAGTGGTAGCTTGGTAGCTTGATTTTGTCTTTCTGGAAAATGAACCAGTAATTCCTAGTGAGAGTTTAAAAAATGGCTCATGAATGTTGATACTCAGTCATTTACTTGGGGTTACACATCTCCAGGAACTAATCTGAAAGGGGAAAAGTTTGAAACTATCCATGTTAAGTAAGGAAAATGAAGTGAGAATGATTGTTTTTATTGTAGTAGCAAATGCCTTAATATGCATTAGCTCACTTGATCCCCAATAAGGAACTGTGACGCAGAGGTGGCAGCTGGGGCAGGAAGCTAGGGCTTCTGTCTACACAGGGTGGGGACCTGAACAAAATCCTGCCTGTGTCTTGCGTCTTCTAGGCGTGGCCTGGGCCACAGCCCTGATTGCGAGCAGTAGCTCTCAGATTGTAAATGGATCACAATGCCCGGCCTCCCCAGCTCCCAGGGGTTGGGCGATAGGTAAGATAATGCATGAGAAGGGGGCTTGTCCCAGGGGCAGTACCTGAGGTTTTCTGAAAAAGGACCTCGAAATGGATCTTCCAAGTGCGCACGAGGAGTGCGGAAAGGTTGGACTGTTTAATCTGCAAGAGAACAAGGAAAATCACAGCGCACCAGCTGAGTTCACGCAGGAGTGGGCTGTAATCAGAGATGCAAAGTGGGTTCGTTTGCACAGGTGGGAAGCAGTGGGCGGCGGGGTGGGGGTAGAAATCAAATGCACTTACTGAATTTTTATTGAAGATACTCTACGAACCTCAGAAACAAGGTTTGCTCTTTAGTGGACGCCCTAACGTGGTTTCTGGCTTCCTCATGCCTCCAGGATTCTGGCTTTCCTGACACTTTTCACTGTGACTCTTGGCTAGGGTCCCACCTGAAATCATCCGCATTCTTTCCCCAGGTTATTGTCTTCCAGTCATGCAAAGGCAAGCTGCTCTGCCACGCCCCTCCCTGCACCACCAGTCGGTTAGGGGGTGGGTCCAGCAGACAGGCACTGTCACAAGGCTGTGTGGAGAGCCTGGAGCACAGGTCATCCTCTTTCCTCATAACTAGGTGTCCACCTGGGAATCAGGAGGCTTCAGACTGGTGCATGGTGGGGTGGGGTGCATCCTGACCAGAGCGGCAACACCACAGCAGCTGTGTATTGTGTGTAACTCATCACTTCATACAAAATGCTGTCCTAGCTCCAACTCCGCAGACCTGCCCTAGAAAAAACAACCTTTCTAAATCTGAACTATTTCCACCTCAAAGTACCAGTATGTCTCCAGATCAAATGCCACCTGGTACTGATTACATTCAACTTCCCTCTGTGTGTCTGGCATTTTCTTTGCTACTTTACATAGCTAGTTGTCTTATTTAATCCTTTCAGCAACCCCTGGAAGAAAGTATTCTTTCCCCTGTTTCAGAGGAAGTGGAAGTTTAGTGATATCAGTGACTTGTCCCCAGGTCACAGAGCAAGGAGGCTGCAAAGCACCTTCAAGTCCAGGATTGCTTGACTTCAAAACCTTCCTGCCACACTCCTGTGCAGCTGGAGGAAGTTTTTCTGGGCAAGAGATCTGAAAGAAATAGGGATTTTTGGTTTTTTTTTTTTTTTGCAAGACCTTTCTTGGGGATCCCTAGAATTATGTCACCAACTCTGGTTTCTGGCCACTTCCTGATAAGTGACAGTGTTAGACAAGGTGCTGAGGGTGATGGCGTGCTGTCCATGCACACACAGGGAGGCAGTTGTTTCCATAACATGCAGCTTATTTTCTACAGAGAGAATCCTTTTTCCAACAGCTGCTTTTTTCACCAAGCTTAGAACCCCATATGCTCTTGAGAGGAGTGTGAAACTCTCAAGGAGGAAAAGCTTTTGGTTGCCCGCCCCTTTTGCAGTTCAAATATCACTCAAAACATCTGCTTCTATTCTGTTTTTTTGCCTCTTGCAAAACATCAATGGTGATTTTGAAACAAATGAGAAGCAAAATATCTTGCTGAACCAGAACAACACAATACCTGACCATCTGAAAATATTTTATTTCTTTAAACATAGCTGGAATGAAAGCAAATCTGTATAAAAACCCATGATTAAGATGCAATTATAGCTGGGCGAGGTGGGGGCACACACCTGTGATCCCAGCTACTCAGGTGGCTGAGGCAGAAGGAGGGAAAGTTTTGCTTACTTGCTGTTTAAAATGGCACTTCTTTGTATAGTAAAGGTTACTTTTCATGAAATTCACATCTTAAATGTACCTCCAGTGAGTGTCAACAAATATGCACACCTGTTTGCCTTCAAATCCTATCAAGACATAAAGCACTGCTGCTGTTCTAACCTTCTTGCTTCATTTGCCTTATTTTGGGACTTCCTAGACGTGGGATCAGTGGTTTTCTGCAAGGTTTCCTTGAGTCACCATAATGCTTCCTGCTCATTAGCATCCGTGTCGCGTGTATCAGTAGTCCATTCCTTTTGGTGGCCAAAGAGTATCCCATTTTCTTAGCCTTTTACACTTTGGGATTGGGTTTTTATTTCATTTTGGTGTCATTTGGGGATATCTATTTTCCTATTGATGACAGTTGGCTATTTCCAGTTTTTAGCCAAGTGAACTTGGTAAGAGCAATCTTGCACAAGTCTTTCTGTGGACCAGTATTTTTCATGTCTCTTGAGTAGATGATCATAGGGGAGGTAAATGTTAAGAAGCTGTCAGGCGTTGCTCCAGGATGACTGTCCCTTTACACCTCCACCATCAACAGATGAGAGCATGTCCACCAACATTAGATGTTATCAGTGACATCTTTTTTTTTTTTTCCTAGTACTGGGATTGAACCAGGACCTCACACAGGCTAGGCAAACACTCTACCACATCAGCTATGTCCTCAGCCTAGGGACATAGTTTGGTTTTAATTTGCAATTCTCTGATGACATTGAACTCTTCATGGTCAAAGATATATCTTTTGTGAAGTTACTTTTGCCCATTTTTCAAAATCTGGGTTTTCTTTTTATTATTGAGTTGCAGTTATTCTTATGTACATATATGTATGTTTATAAACACATATACATACACATATATATGTACACACACATACCTGAGAGCCCCCCTTCTGTATTGTGGGAGTGGGGCCTGTTACTTGATCTTCTTGTCTTGTGTGTGTGTGTGTGTGTGTGTGTTGCTAGAATTGAACTCAGGGCTTTGCATTTGCAAGGGAGATGCTTTACTCTTGAGCCACACCTCCAACTCCCCCTCCCCTTTCTTTTTGCTCTGGTTATTTTTGAGCTAGGCTCTCACTTTTTGTTTCCCCCAGACTGCTCTGGACTGCAACCCTCCTATTTTATACTTCCTGCCATAGCTGGAATGATAGGCATGCATCATTGTGCCCAGCTATCACCTGAAATGGGGTGTCTCAAACTTTTTGCTCAGATTGGCCTCAGAATTTGATCCTCCCAGTCTCAGCCTTCCCAGTAGCTAGGATTACAGGTGCGGGGCTGTCTTTCAATCCAAAATAATGTCAGGAATTCCTCATTTAGTACTATGTCCTAGTGCCTGGGATTGCCTCAAGCACATGGTGGGAGCTCAATAAACATTTACTGAAACAATGACTGACTGAACTGATGAACTGACTGTGGGACCTGATATGCAGATGCAATGTTCAATGGCATTAGGAAAGATGGCACAAGGAAATAGGAGATTTAAACATGGTCGTCGAGCTGTCAAGTATCCTGGGAACAGAGGATGCAGAACACCTTCAGGAGAGCCTCCTAGCATATCGCATGGAACCCTGTAGTGAATCCATCACTAATGTCTAGCCCAGTGCATTCTGGGACTACGTCTCCACCACCTGCAAGTCTTGGGTTCTGAGGAGGTTTGCTTGATTGGTTGCTGCTGGGAGACACAGGGACATGACTGACTTTAACCCTTTACACTGTTGCCTGGGTCTCTCTCTGGCTCCACAGAGATGGTGTCAACTAGCGCACCCTAGTATTCCCTCAGCTTCTGGACTTTTCAGGTTGTTTAAATTCAAGCCCATCAGATTCGAAAGAGCATGCATCAAAGTAGTCTGATTTGAATTGTAGTCTTAAAAGATCATGATAGATACTCTAAAGAGAGTGTTGGTTTCTAAATTAGTAGAATTAATAGCTGTTACTCTGTTTGCCAGTCATAGAAAAGGAGATACAGTTGGAGAAGATGTGAATGCAATCTGTCATTCCTTTCTGAACTTATTATCTGTTTAGCAGATTGTATTGCATGAGTCAATGAGATATTATGAAATAATTTAAAAATAATTGTTTTGTAGAAACAAAAATCCATATGAATTACATTAAGAAAAAGAGTGGAATGAAGGAAAGTAGGCACATGTACTCACAGCTATGTAGCTAATAGTCAAGGTAATCTGCAGAAGTGAAAAAAATGGATTAAGAATAATAAAGGTGAGTCTTTTTCAAAGTATGTGTTTCACAGCTTTGCAATTTAAAAGTTAAAATGAATTTATATTGCTTCTGTGAAAAATATGTATTTTATTAATCAAAAATTGTGCTTGGTCTTGTCTTGTTTTATAGGACAACCAACAGAAGTCCACCAATGTAGTCTATCAGGCCCACCATGTGAGCAGAAATAAGAGAGGACAGGTGGTTGGAACGAGGGGCGGATTTCGAGGATGTACAGTGTGGCTAACAGGTATCAACCTCTATATATTATATATTACATGCAATATCAATAGATCTATATTTTTAATTAAAAATTGATTCATGACACAATTTTAGGGAAATGATTATACCATATTACACATAGTACATGTTTATTTTAACCTTGAAGGAGGCTGGGAGCTGTAGTAGAATGTTAGTCCTAATTCTCCCATCAGTGGGAAATAGTCTGATTTAGTCATGTGAAGTCAATTTTCTCCTCTTTGGCAGACAGGATGGACAAGTTTATTATGCTACTCTTTCAGCTGTAAGGTATTCAGTACTCCTGATGCTCTTCTCTGGCAGTTATGAATGGGCCTTTCCAAAAGGCCCATTAGGTTTCAGATGTTTACAGTCATTCTCTTTGTTTTCTGATGTTTTGATGTTCTGGGGACTATTTCACTTACTATAGACAAACAAATGTAAGAATCTGCATTAGAATGGAAAACTCCATTTGGCTAAGGATTGCCCTTTGTCTGTAGAAATAACTTTCTCCCACTGAGGCAACCCAAAGAGCTTTTGTTTTCTAATGCTTTTATAACCACAGGATGCCAAAAGTTAGTGACAGAACTGAAATTACACTTTAAGACTCCAAACCCGGTCCTAAACTGTTACCTATACTCCGAGGACAAGATAGAAAATTGTGCATTGGGAATGAGTCACACGTAGTTGGGAATGAGTCAAACATAGTAGGTTAGGTCTGGACTCAAAAGGAAAGCTAAGTTCGTTTAATAGACACGACTTTTCAAATAGAGATGAGTGTAGACGCAAAAATATCTCTATCCAGTTTAAGAAATCAATGTAGGTACTACTTTCTGCTGTATTCTAACCTGAGGGTAATTCTAAAGAACATGGCTGAGGATATGAGGGCGATTTGACTGCGACATGTGTCACCCCATTGATCGACAGGGTTGATTCAGCTGATCTGGCAGGTTAGGTGGGTGTCCCCTTCCTCCCTCCCCGAAGAGGACAGTCCTGATAGAGGAGTACCATTCTTCCGTCAAGGGTATACAAATAGCTGCGCTCCCCTGCTAGAACCTCCAAACAAGCTCTCAAGAATATGGCTGAGAGGGACCTGCCTTGCACTTTTTCCTTGATATTCTGCGTCTTTTCCTATTCCTGTCCAAATCAGCCTTGTTCTTTTTATATTTTTCAAGTGTTTTCCTAGATTTTGGCCTCCTGACTTCATTCAGATCTGGACTCTGCATCAAAACAACTTTCTCCATCCTCTAGTATAAGGACAGACTGTGGGCAGAGGGCCTGGAATGTCAAATACATAGTACTCACCGGTCATTATTCCTGAGATGTTTAACCTAAATCTCTCCAAGAGATGTGATTTGTGGCCATAGGTATAGCTGTATTCTAGAAGTTTCCCTGTTGTTATATGTCTTACTAGTGAAGACAACTTTTGTGTATGGACATACACAGGAAGTCCATTTTCTCTAATGTGGCCCTCTCTTGAGGATTTAAAAAAAAAAAAAAAAGAACTGGTAGGAGAGGGAAAAAAATGTAAAGGGTGTATTTCTTGTCATTTTTGGCTCTTAAAGAAATCACACTTAATTAATTTTTTATTCTTATGCTTCAGAGATAGGATATTAACCAGGCAGACCAGAAAAAAATCCAGAGACTCAGATTTAAGCCCCAGCTCTACCTACATTAGCTGTGTGACTTTGGAAAAATCAGTTAACCTCTCTAATCTTCAATCTCTTTATTTGTAAAAATGAGATTCAGATTAGCACCTGTTTTATGGAGATGTAGAAAGAAATGAAATGAAGCATCACTGCACTTAGCACAGTGCCTGATCCACAGCAAAGTTAGTAGTAAGTGTAGTTTATTTATTAAAATAAAGATGCCAACAATCTAGTCAAATACAGTTAACTGTGATACGGCTCTTTGTTTCCTGGTAGCTGAAGCAAAATGGGAGGAAATTTCTATTATTTCTCTCATTTTCCTGACACAAAAGGATATACCATTTCCAAGATTCCCATTTTCTCTACCCTACAACCTGACATAAATTCTAAGAGGAATTTGTCACTTAAGGCTTTATTCAAATGAAATTGAATGACACAATCTCAGCATTGATTTACCAAAGATGACCAGAACGTTCTTCATGGAGACATTTCTTCTCATGATTCTCTGTCAAGGCCAAGGGTATGACGTTAAAATATGGCGAAAAATATGGAAACTATTTGCCTTTTATAAAGTACTTTTTTCCCCCGAAAATTTCTTTTCCTCTGTACTTTGTCCCTGCATTTCTCTTACCCTTTCCACCTTTTCCCTCTTTCTTCCTGCTGTCTTCTCATATTAACCTCTGAATCTTTTTTTCTTCCCCGCCCCCATCCTTTCCATTTCCATGCTAGGTGCTGTCTGACAGTGGCTTGGCACCATGGATTATTCTTCAGGTTCAGAGCTCACTAGGAAAAGTGAGTTTTTAGAGTGCTAGTATTTTAGGGTAGTCAGATAGTGAGCTCTTACATAATTTTGGCAGGCTGCATTTCTTTCCTTTTTTTCCATATGTTCTCCCTTATCTAGAAATTATAGTGTGTTCCAATCATGCTTGGACAGAACGATGGACAGCACATGGTGACTCTTCTCATGTTAAGACTCTCTAAGAGCCTTTGCACCTCAGAGTGTAAATACTCCTAAGAGCCCCAAATACTTCTAAGTCTATTTTGGGATGGCTGTCTGTGCTGTTTTGAGAGTCATTTTGGAAAAATCTTGATGCCAAAGGACAGCATGTGGGCTCTGGTGTCAGGTAGTCGTTCAGTCCCATTGACAACAGAGGTAGGTTTGCCAATCTCTCAGGGCTGCCTGTCCCCCTCCACTATGGCTAATTGCTGCCATATGAAGGGATATGAGACATTGTTACCACACCTTTGATTTTGCAACACAAGCCAAGTCTGGATTTGAATGCACAGCTTTCTAATCTTTAAAATGCTTTGTAGGCAAAATAGACCACACCAAGGACCATATGTAGCCCCCCCGCCATATGTAGTCTCTGTATGTGTGAACCCCACTTGCTTTGAAAGCCTATAATCCTAACAGGAGCAAGTAGTTATTTCAAAATTAGAAACAACTGCAAGTACTTGGCTTGTAACGAACTGTACTTTTTCTAGATTTTAATGGTTTTGATTTGCAATCAGAGAAATGGAAGGCAGTTTAGCTACATTTAAAATGGCCAAGTTAGTTCACAATTTAGCATCGTAAGCCATCAGTCTGTCTTGCCTGTTCTGGACAGGTCTGTCTGGTGCTGGAAAAACAACGATAAGTTTTGCTCTAGAAGAGTACCTTGTCTCCTATGCCATCCCTTGTTACTCTCTGGATGGGGATAACGTCCGTCGTGGCCTTAACAAAAATCTTGGATTCTCTCCTGGAGACCGAGAAGAAAACATCCGCCGGATTGCTGAGGTAGCCAAGCTGTTTGCTGACGCTGGTCTGGTCTGCATTACCAGCTTCATTTCTCCATTTGCAAAGGTAAAAAGATTTGGCTCTGTACACACATAACTCCCTAATGCTCAGGTCAGGACAGGACAGAGAGGAGGACACAAAAGTAGGCTTTCAATTTCTCTACAGTTCCTCCTCCCCAGGCACTCCCTTCTTCCCTCTGTTTACTATTGGTTATAAAGAGAGAGTTCCTTTTTTTCAGATGCCAGGGCCTCAGATGACACAATGACAAGGGACATTTGGCCAGCGTTGAAAAAAAAAAGTTAAATAAGGACTTTAAACCCCTGTAATTTCAGTTGCCTGAGCAAGAATGTTTAGCTTGCAAAAGAAAAGCACAGTTTACTACAGAATAGCAGGGTATGTGTGTTTAATGTGGACATCACTGAGGGGGAGTGTCACTGTCCTTGTTTTCATCAGGAAGTTTCTGGGAGCTACAGATAATGTACAATGTGCTTGGAACACACATCCTTTCCACGAAATCTTCCTATGTTGCCAGCACTGTCCTGCCAAGAAAGGCTGTTTTCTGTAGTATTCTCTGGAAGTTTTTGAGACAGCTATGTTTATCAAAGTGACATTTCTGGATGTTTGAAGAGGACACTGCAGAACATAAGGTCCATGTTCTCTCAAGAATATCAAGTGCCAAAGCACACAATGTTTTCTTAGGAAGAATTTCATTGTGAAAATTTGTCTTAATCCATTTTCTGTTGCTAAAATGAAATACCACAAGCAAGGTAATTTATAAAGAATAGAGATTTACTTGGTTTATGATTTTGGAGGCTGGGAAGCCCAAGTGCATGGTGGCAGCATCTGTTAGCATCTGGTGAGGGTGTTGTTGCTGTGTTGTAACATGCCAGAGGGCATCACATTGCAAGACAGAGGAAATGTGCTAGCTCAGGTCTCTCTCTCTTTTGAGATGAGGTCTTGCTAGGTTGCCCAGACTAACCTTGAACTTCTGGATTCAAGTGATCCTCCCCTCTCTTCAGCCTTCCTCTTGCTGGGATCACAGGCACACACCAGTATGCCTGGCTCTTTTTCCTAGCCACCAATCCTATCAGGTCTTCACACTGATGACTTTACCTAGTCTTAATTACTTCTCAAAAGCTCCACCTTCAAAATCCATCGGCCTATGAATTTGAGGCTTAAGTTTCCAACACATGAACTATGGAAGACACGTTCAAACCACTGCAGACATCTTACATTCTTAAATGTACTGTTTTTCAGGATCGCGAGAATGCCCGAAAAATCCATGAGTCAGCAGGACTTCCATTCTTTGAAATCTTCGTAGATGCACCTCTAAATATTTGTGAAAGCCGAGACGTAAAAGGTCTTTACAAACGGGCCAGAGCTGGCGAGATTAAAGGTAAGAGAAGCAGAAAGCATCACCTGCTATGGTTATCCAGCCTGCAAGCTTCTGCTCCTGTCCTCAGAAATCTGTCTGGAGTTTCAAACTCTCTTTCCAAAACTGCATAGAACATACACAACTTTTTATCCAATCATAATCTGTTCAGTACATCCAGGGGCTTATTACAATGTGGGGTTTTATCTTTTCAGAACTGTCACTTAGGCCATAAGCAAGTAAGTTCAGAAAATGGATGTTTGTGTGAGCATGGGAAGAGGGGGAGTTTCCTTTTTGCTCTTCTTTTTAATTCTAATCGGTTGTAGAGGACTTGCCCTTCACCAGATACTGTTAATTTGAACTTTCCATATTGAAAATACAGTTGTAAATTTTCTTACTTTTAGCAAGAGGTCAGGGTGGCTGTTTTCTGTTATAATCCAAATTCTCAGTTTAATACATGTGTTACACCCTAGTGACTCAAAAATTATTCTGCTGGCACAGAAGTGACTTCCCCTGATGCCTTGCAGGATTTACAGGTATTGATTCTGATTATGAGAAGCCTGAAACTCCTGAGTGTGTACTTAAAACCAACTTGTCTTCAGTCAGCGACTGTGTCCAGCAGGTGATAGAGCTTCTGCAAGAGCAGGTAGGACCTGATGCCTCTCTCTCTCTTTTAACTTAATAAAGCCATAAGAGAGAATCTGTGCAGAAGCATTCTTTTTTAGTTTTCACTTGAAATTGTTGCCAATTCTTTTTCATTTCAGAGCATCGTACCTCATACTGTCATTAAAGGCATCCACGAGCTCTTCGTGCCGGAAAACAAACTTGACCAAGTCCGAGCTGAGGCGGAGGCTCTCCCATCACTATCAATTACCAAGGTAAGAGGGTACCAACTGTATGGATGACCAGAGGAGAATTAGGCTTAGTATAAGTCATTATACTAAGTCATAATATCTACAATTCCTCTTGATAATGAGGAAGGAATGAGCAAGAGATAGCTAATGTATATGAAGAAAAACACTTCATTTTTGCCATTTTTTTTTTTTTTTAAATCTCTTCTCTGAGCAAATCTGTTCCCAAATCTTGCTACAAAGCAGCTGGTCCGTCCCATGAATGGAGGCAGTCTGGGAAAGTGACATCTATATTTACATAGGATAATTTACATAGCTGGCCTAATATCTCCAGTTATGCATAAATGCAGGCAGAAATCCAATAATTATTTGTTGGCAGTGGCTGAGAAGATAGATTGTCCAAGATGCAAGTTCTTCTTGGGCGATCAAGAAGGAGCCTGAAGAAAATAAAAAGCAACCCTGATCAAAAGTGCTACAAGGTCCCTAATCTTTTTGACATGCAAATTGCGCTCTTCTGTCACTGGGGAGAGTCCAGTCTGAGGAAAGAGGGAAGCAGTTTGGGTTGCATTGATTTTACTACCTAGAAGGTGTAAGATGCAACCCTGGCCAATTGCCCTTCACCTGACCTTTTTAGGGGTCAGCATTAGTTGATCCATACAAGATGATCAAGTCTTTAGGGGTACCTTTTTAATTACTCATTAAAACTTTACAGACTGTATGAGACGCAAGGTGAGTAGGGAACTTGCTTTAGCTCACAGAACCATACTCTAGTAAGTCATTACCAACTTGTCAACACAACCCCCGACTCTGTAAAATAAATACTGAGCACCCCAACACTCCACAGATGAGCAAACATTATAATTATAGTAATGCAGTATGATAGTTCTGATAATAAAAAGGTCTATAAGTTGGAAAACTTTTTAAAAAATCTAATAATTCTTTGAGCCACAGAGATGACAGGAAAAGTTTCAGAGCAATGATCCACGAGCCTGGTTTTAAAGGATGAAGAGGAATTTGCAGGCGAGTAGGAGAAGGATAGATGAAACACAGGACTGAAGCCACATGTATGTTCAGACTACACATCACCTGGTATTGGCAAATAGGTACCAACCAGGAGCAGAGGGAGGTGGAAGACCCTCAGTGAGTCCCAGGGGCCAGACGTTGAAGGGTTTGCAGTACCATGCCAATAATTTTGGGCTTTACTACAGACAATGGTTTGGCCAATTCAGTCAAATGACCAATAAGTAAGTGAAAAACACAAAGCCAAATCAGAATTTTTGTGGAAAAAAAAAAAGAATGAAGAGTGAATTTTCAACTCAGTTGCACATCATGGTGCTAGTTACAGCCTAGAGTTGTCAATTAAATTATCTCAGTTTGGACTGTTTTTACCACTTGTCCATGGGCAAGTTCTAGAATCATACCTATCTGTTCCTTTTTTCATAACCTGTGGAAACACTTAAACATGAAAAGGTCTGCCTCATGCTCCTATCACCTGAATAAGGAAGAACTGCCTTGGGGCCTCAGAGATGCCTGAGAAACAGGATTTATGGAACCTCCCATGGGGTTTTGTGTTTTGCAGGTGGACCTGCAGTGGGTCCAAATTCTGAGCGAAGGCTGGGCCACCCCCCTCAGGGGCTTCATGCGGGAGAAGGAGTACTTGCAAGTGCTACACTTCGACACTCTGCTAGATGGTATGTTTGCCCTTGTTTCTTACTCTTTATTACTAAAGAAAAAAATCTCTCCTAGAAGTCTACACAGGAGCTGTTAATTTTGCTTTGTAAATCTTATTGCAAAAATATTTAAATCATTGACAGTGTGCCCAATTCTATTACATATAAGTTTCCACTTTTATGATTTTTTTTTTGGTCATTCTAAAGGATTATTCATTATTTAAAACTAAGGAACTGAAGGTTTTTACTTGCACACAAAGCCAAGAAAATGTTAAGCCTACCACCTCCACCTGTTCTTGTCTGGTCCTGATGTTCAGAAGCACCACTGCAGTCAGAACCCATCACTGGCTGCTAGGGAGCATCTGGGACAACCAAGCTGAGTACAAGTGACCTCACACGGCACCTCCTGTCCTCCACGTTGCTCCCATCCAGCAGTGTCTTGGCAGCTGCTTTCCTTGGTGGATGTTAAAGCATCAGTGTTTGCACCCACACATGGGATATATTAGGGTGGCTTTATCCTATAAATTCCAACAGGGGCACAGACTAATGGCTTTTAGAAATCTGATTTGGTCAAGGTTGGAAGCATGTGTTATTCAGAAGGATTCCAGACCTTTCTATGATTAGTTCCTTCCTAGAGCTGCCAGATCTTGGGGAATAGCTGCCAATGGGGTAAGTGATGGTGCTAGGGTCACTTGAATTTATAATACTGACTAGGGCTTCAGACCGCTTAGGAAGAAAAATCAAATCAGATGTTTTTTTCTTGGAAAAGAAAAGCATGCCCTGGACTTGGCTTCTGCCTGGGGAATGGGGCATAACATCAGGAGCAAAACTCAAAGAGTGATCAGAACGGCCACTCCCCTTACTCCTCTGCTCTAACTGACCATACCCCACAACCTGAGGCCAGTTTCTCACATTAAATAACATTCCAGCCTGGGCAGTGGTGGCTCAGGCCTGTAGTTCTATCTACTTGGGAGGCTATGATTTGAAGGATTGTGGTTTGAGGCCATCCTCGGTACATAGTTTGAGAAATTCCAACTCTAAAATGTAGCAAAATGGACTACAGGTGTGGCTCAAATGATAGAGTGGTTGCTTTATAAGAGAGAAGCCCTAAGTTCAAACCCTAGTCCCACAAAAAAATTCAAAGAAATATTGTTTGCTTCTAGCAAATAATAATAATAATAATAATAATAACAATAACACATATCTGCCCAGCATCTGTCTATTTTCAAAGCATTTTCCCAGGTATTATTTCATTCGATCTCTAAAAAAAGCACTGGAAAACAGGCAACTCTTGTTATCCACTTTACAGATGAAGAGACTGACTTAAGGTTAGTAGTGATTTGCTCAAGTTCCTATCATTTTTCAAGTAAGAACACAAGACCAGAATCCAGAGCCTCTGGAGTCTCCTGACTCCTCACAGGTACTCCTTCTACACAAGGCTGCTCTCCTGATGTCCTTTCCAATAGAATCTAGAAGGCCAGGATGTCTAAACAAGGATGGGTGACATTTATCGTAATGTCTTAATTTTGTCATATGCTGAACACAATTGCATCAAATATATGTCCCTGAACTCAACACCCAGTCACATACAAGAGATCAAGTATGAACTGTGGCCAATAAAAAAGTGGGCCACAGTGAAAAAAGGGGCCTCATTATAGCTAGTGCTACTGACCTGTGTTCCATGAAGAAAAATGCCAGGGCTGCAGATATGATTGCAGAGGTCAACATTAATGGAAGACTGGGGTCATTCGCCTGGGATCTAGAACTTCAAGGTAGGGAAAAAAGACATCCTAGAACTAGCAAAAAACAAAACAACAACAACAACAAAAAACCCTTGCATTTTGAGAAGGGGAGGAGAAGACATTTTCATGGGTTAAGAGTTTATGGCTTTGGGGCTGCTGGAGTGGCTCAAGTAGTAGAGTGCCTACCTAGCAAGTATGAAGTCTGGAGTTCAAACCCCAGTAATACAAAAAAAAAAAAAATATATATATAATATATATATATATATATATATATACATATATATACACACATATATATATGTATATATTTATGTATGTACATATAGATATATAAAGTCTATGGCTTTTGATGACTCCTGAAGAGCATCTATGACCCAAAAAGATGAAGACATCTAATATAGTTAATCCTTCTGAATAATCTAGGCAAAATCTCACTCCTTCCCTCTTACACCATTTCCATTTCATTTCATGGGCAAAGCACATTAATTTTCCATTTCTTATTTGCTCCTCACTACCATGAGGTGGATGAAACACTTAATACTGCTTTCATTCCCATGTAATCTTGATGTCTGTCCCCCAAGCTTACTGGCCCAGGGATATACATGAGCTCACTTTCCCATTGCTACTTGAGTCCTCTGGTTCCAGTTCTTTCTGAAGCCTACACCCAACTGTTTGTGGGAGTCCCCAGGAGATATGTTTACTGTGTTCTTATATCAAGCCCATGGTCATTGCCACTTGCTGTGTGGATCTGTGTGGCTCTCTGTGCTCACAGCAGTGCAGATCCTGTCCAGTCACTCACTCACTACAGTTCTTGGTACTGATGGGGCAGTGGTTTATGGGCTTTTTCTCCGGTGAGAAGGAGAATGCTCCCTTCCTCTGTGTTTAATTCCATTGAGGACTCCCTGGGAGGTTGCCCGAACCCCACAGAATTACACTTGGACTCCATATGGATCTTTATCCTGTGCTCAGTGTGGCTATGTTAGGACTTCAAGACTACATACCATGCTGTTTCCATAATCTCTATTCCTTTCCAACCTGTAGTCCCAACCTGAAAGAATTTCTGGGACTTTCTTTAAGATTCCTTTTATTCTTATAGGAATTCTCTACTGGCTGTGCCCTCTGCTTCTGCAACCAGAGTCCAGTAGACACACTTATGCAGCCTGGTTATAGGCAGGACAGATTAAAAGCTCTGCCCCCACAAGCCTCCTCAATTCTTATGTAATTCAATTCATAAAAATTGGTACCAGGGCTATGATGTCCTGGCTACTTCTCTGTGTCTCAAATTAGTTTTGGCCTAACTAGAGGCAGAATGTCATAGAGGATAAGAATATGAATTATGAGCCAAACTGGCTGCATCATGTGTCAGTGATGAGCTATGAACCTGGGCCAAATTATTTTAACTCTCTGGGCTTAGTTCCCTCATCTCTGGAATGGGGATGATAACTACACAGGTAAGTTTGAAAGAAAGCCAAGTCCAATAAATAGTGGATACTCCATATATGTCAGCTGTTACCAAGAGCACACCCCCATTGCATACAGTTAAGAGAGCATGGAGCCTTGAAGAGACAAAGTGGCTCAGTCACAGTCACATCAGTTTGAAGTCACACAGATAAGAAAGTCATCATCCAGTAATAAATCCTGATTGATTGAGTACCTCATATGCACAGTTCATCTAGCTCCTGGGGATAGAATGGTCATGAAGACAGATGTGCACTTGCTGGACAGACAACACAACTCCTCTTCTGAGGGTTCTTCCCATCATTGAGTGTGAAACTTCTTTTTAAGCCAGAGAATTCTTTATTGCAGTGAAATCTGAGGCGATATGAGCAACAGATAAAGTGGAAGTGGGTAGAGCTTGGCCTTTCCCTTTTTGGAGAGCAGCCTGGCAGGCTGCAAGAAGCCAGTGGAAATACTCTGCACTTGCCATACCGTGGCAGAATCTCTTGGTAGTGCCTGGTTTGACAGCTTTTGGACTGAGAAGACGGAGTTGAATTCTAAAACATGATTTAGTTATATATCACAGAGTGAGGCAAGGTATCATTCATATAGATATCATTTAATTTTAACCAATCCAGGAAGGTTTGTATCACTACCATTGAAAATTCAAAATGTTTTGTTAGCTACAGATACATGGCATTTTTCTCTATCATGAAATAACTGTAAATTTATTGATCACTTAAAATTGTTGTAAGCAATAATTTTATTCCCACCATGTCTCCTAAAAAGGTATTTTGTTTTAATTTTCTCAAAGGTTCACCATTTCCCCCCTGAATTTAAAAATAAAGCTCAGTCTATTCAGTCCAAAAACAAAACAAAACAATAAAAAAAACCCAAATCATTTGTTAGTGTTTATGGTAATTGTGTAGTGTGAGTTACTCTATATATTATTCAAGAACCTGCTTTATCATAATTGTAACGTATTGTGTCACTTTATCTCTCACTGACAATACACTTCCAGGTTGTTATAGACCCTTTCATCATAAATGTCACATCTAAATTTAAAAATGGAACATCAAGTTTATGTTGACTGATAGCATCTAGGTGGGATCAAGGTGTGGCTGCCTTGTGGAACTGACTTTCCAAGAAGGCATGAGAGTGCTTCACACACCAGCACTTACTACAAACCAACAACTCCAGAGTTGGATGTAGATTATCCCATCTCACCTGGATAACACCACTGTGAAGATATTCTGCCACATGAGGAAATAAGTAGTGAAAGGTTAAATAACTTACTGGAAGTTTGGATTCAAATCCAGGTTATCCTGGCTCTAACACTTGTACTTATTTTACTGGGCACACTTTCACATCCTCTAAATATCTGGGATTCTCAGATGTTTTAGGCCAATTTGCTTCTACATTTTTTTTCCCAGAGTCTGGTTTAGCAATCATTTGATAGTGGTTGTAACATCACATGTTTGCAAGAGATAACTTCTTGCTGAAATTACAGGGGTAATTAATATATGTTATAATAATTTTAAAACATGTAAGGAGAGCATATTGAATAATAGTCCATATAAATTCTGATTTGCCAATTTTTTTGGTATCATATATCCTGTATTTTTAAAAAATAGTATAACAAAGAGCTCAGTATATTTGTATGTTCTGCTTGTAAAATGTCATAATAGGAATTTGTTCCTTGACATTGCTGCTTTAAGATTATTTTGGTGGAGAGCTATAAACATGTTTCTTGTGTTTGTATTTCTCTAGGCATGGTCCTTTGTGGTATGTACTTTAACTTTCCAAGTACTTAAATTATTATAATTAGATATGTTAATTTTAAATTGTTAAAGATAAAATGAAAAAAATCTAAATTAACTGTTGGATTGTTATCAGCGCATGATCCAACCAGTTATGATAAAATAATATTAAATTCTTCTGTTGATTAAAGCACAAATAACAGGAAATTTCTGGATCAGATGAAGCTATTATTTATAATGTGTTTGGCTGACAAAAGTTAACTTGTTTCTTAATTACTATTACACATTTTATTCCTGGGTTCTTTAAAATTTATGATCCTCTTCTAATGACTATTGGTCCACTTTTAGTTTCATAAATATGGAAATTTTTTTCTATCATGTTTACAAAACATACTTAATCAATGAAGGAAAAAAATCCATTTTAGGTGTAATTTAAAGTGGATGCACCTGGTTGGATTGTGTATGATTTGTACTTAATTTGTTTGCAATGTGTGATTATGCATGAATCTAAATTCAAACTATCATAATTGATAGTTACAGAAATGGGAATAAATATATACTTGTTGTGACTATAAATTTCTGCATTGTACCAGAATGAAGAGGTAAAATTTCGAAGATATCATTTATCTTTGGCATTGTTTTCTCTTTAAAAAGCCTAGTTGTAAAATAAAGATTAGTTTAGTTTCTGCCTAGAAACAGTTCTTTTAACCAATAAGCTGATCTACAAGGCTTAGCCTTTTGTTTTAACAAAAAGCTTAAGAATTATTTAAGCAAAAGAAACTTATGCAGTTGGATAGGAAGTTATCTGTTGGGCTTACAATGGTTAAAAACCACAATACTCTTCCAAAATGAGATATACTACAATAAAATAATGAAGGCAGTTACTGATTCGATGTTTAAAGTCACCGAGGATGTTCAGTGCAATTAAACTGTTAGATAAGATAAATATTAGAAAAAGAGAAAAAGGTGATAGGAAACCACAGTAAATCTGTTTCTACCATGTGGAATTACAGCTCCACACAGATGGGATCGGTTGATATTACTACCCTGTAGGACTGCTCTCCATACTGCCCCACTGGTTAGTCCCTTACCCTGACAGCCCTCAGCAAATGCTGCTTCATCACTGCCAATGTCAAGACCAAAGTGAAAGCGGCGCGGAGGCTACATTGGGCAGGGACCTAGTGGATTGGAGAAGGCCATGGCAATAGGAAAGTGAAGTGTCCCTTGGATTTCAGCGAAAACTTGGTGGAAGGCAGTGTTGCCTCCAGCACCCTCTCTGTCTTTTGCTTTGCATTTTGGTTTGTTTTATTTTGGTCAAATCACTCTTTAGAAGCAGAATCAAACATCATGGTCTTTCTTTCCACAATGTGGTCAGTAAGCAATCCACAGGCAGCATGATTTTGAAATAGAATAAGAGCCTCCTGGGAGGTGTTACGTTTGTTAGCTTCTCTCCCATTTCCTCAACTGGACTATGTGCTGGATTTAATTATCTTTCATCATAAACCTCCATTAGTGCAGTTCTGTACTGTATGCCTCCCTGTTTCAGCAACCCAGGGACATATTCATTATTGATTATCCCGTTTTTCTTTTCATTTCTGTTTTGAGACAAGGTCTCACTGGTAGTTCGGGCTGGCCTAGAATGCGCTATGAAGCCCAGGCTGGCTTGAAACTCCCCACTTGAAGTTTAATGTTCTCTGCAAAGGAGCTGGCTGCACAACGGTCCAGGAACTTTGAAACAGAGTTATTTGAATAACAAAATCCTCACTTTTATATCTAGTTTTTGGTTTATAGAGGATCCTAAAGTATATTGCAGGATTTTATGATAGACTGGATTTCTTTATTGCTGGCAATTGCTATCTATATTTTGTGATGTTCTTTAGGTCCTAGTAAATTTTAGAGAGTGTTGAAAAGGTGCCAAGTGATATGTCTGGAAAGTCTGGGTTCATAGCTGCTAACATGAAGTTTAAGGTCCCAAAGGAACAGAACTTTTTAATAGTCTTTAACTCTGTCAGATGCATTCAATGCATTGGATTAAATGACTTTATTAATTGATACACATTTCCTCAAATCCTAAAATAACTGCATGTGTTTTCTCTAGAGTTCAATGTTGTATTTACCTCCCTCTCATTCCCTTCTGAATCTTAATTTCCCTAATATTCTTTTGTGTCACACACTTAACCAGGGCCCTCATTTTCTTACCTGTAAGTACAACTGAGAGATGGACTTATTTATTAGAATATTAGGGCGTCATTATAAAAGGTAATGGAGGTGATACTGTTTTGTAATTTATTTTTACATTGCCTGGCATCATTAAGAAATGAGAAGCAAATTTCATACTATTAACAACATTCCAAACTAAAAAAACAGCTACATCTTTTAACCATTTATCTGCAGATACTTAAAAAAAAAGCCCTCTGAGTCATTAAAAAAAAAAAGGAGTCCAACAGGATGAACATATGTTTGTATGTGTATGTTCTATCTACATATGAGATGGGGGAGAGAGAGAAAAAGATTTAATTTTAAAAATTGGGGCTGGGGTGTGGCTCAAGTGGTAGAGTGTCTGCTTTGCAAACATGAAGACCTAAGTTCAAATCCCATTTCCACCCAAAAAACAAATTGGCAAACATGACTGTGAAGGGAGGCAAGTCCAAAATCTGGAGGGTGGGTGGGGTAAGCCAGAAGGTTAAATACTGAGAAGAGATGCAGTTCAAGTTCAAAGTCTCCTGCCTGGGAGAGTCCTCCAGAAGTTCTCTTCACCGACTCTTAGACAAACTGGGGCAGCCAACACAACCACATTTGTTTGGAGTTCTAAAGCCTTTCGAATGGACTCTCTGGAAGGGCACTGTGCATGTTTGAGTTTTCCTTAAAGAACAGCACACCTATGCTGGAGTGTGGTGGTGCATACCTGTAACCCGAGCACTCAGGAGGCAGAAGCAAGAAGGATGGCAAGTTAGAGGCCAGCCTGGGCTACAGAGTGAGACCTGGTCTCAAACACAAAAACAAAATGAACAACAAAGAATGGCACATCCTTAGATCTGGTACTCATACTTCCCACTGGTTTTTCCACAGACGGAGTGATCAACATGAGTATTCCCATCGTACTGCCAATCTCCGCCGATGATAAGGCACGACTGGGAGAGTGCCCTGAGTTTGTCCTGACCTACAATGGCCGGAAGGTGGCTATCTTACAAGACCCTGAATTCTTTGAGCATAGGAAAGAGGAGCGTTGTTCCCGTGTGTGGGGGACAGCATCTGCAAAACACCCCCATATCAAAGTAAGTTGCAAAAAAATTTGGAAGGGCTTTCTTGATCTATTTCAACCGAGAACAAAATGAATTTTTAAAAAATTCCTTCATGGAGCACTTGGAAAAACTGAGGTTAAATGGAAGACTGCTTTTCTAAGGTATGTTTTGCCAGGTGCCTTGAGAGAGCTTTTTGAAAAGAAATCTTTCTGCTTAAGAGCTGGCCTTGATGACCTCCTGTGTCCTAGATCCTGTGATCTAGCTGCTTCCTCAGCTAAATGGACAACGTGACGAGAGGAACAAGATTGCAGCAGTAGCTATGCACAAAACCACAACTAGAACTTGCAATCCTGTTCACCTTGAAAACGCACAAGGGAAATGCACACAGAAGGGGTCCAACTAATCACTGGAATGAAAACTCAGAGTTCATGCTCTGTGGCCAGTGAGTGGGTCAATGACATCTTTTCAGCCAACAAAAATCAGCATGGATAGAGGCTGAGTTCCCAGGGGAAAGATAGTACATTATCAGTGGATATTTTCAAGGTTGAAAAATGTATTCATTTGACTAGGATCATTTAGGTTCCATCCTCCCTAAAGGCAAAATAGACTAAACCTTTCTGGATTCCTTGGCAAACTCTTAACTGTTGTTAGCAATCAGTGGGGTGGGAGTGAGGGGGTATGAAGGAATCACTGGATGTAGTTCATTTCCCACAAAGAAAAATATGTGAAATTGAAGGCAAAAACCATTTCTCACCCAAGATAAAGGCAGTAGGGTGGAAATGAAGAGAGATTTATACTACTAATTTGACATCTCAAATTCCCCAGACAGAGCAACTTTGAGCCGGCTCACAGGTATCACCAAGAGCAGTCACGGCCTAGAAGGTCACGGCTCTGAGGAGCCCTGTGATGATGAGGCACACTGCTTTCTTTTCTTCACTGATGAAAGGCAGGGGCCAGACCAAAATAAGTCTAACATCTCTTCCAGCTACATGACCCTGCATATTTTTGTTTTGTTTTGGTTTGTTTTTTTTGGTTTTTGTTCTTTCTTCAGTTATGAAATGTTTCAAAATAGGAAGGAACTTTTCAAGGCCCCTGTTGGTGGCCTCTGGGGCCTTTTTAATCAGAACACAAGCAGTCAGTGGGCAAACATGACAGCTTTTTTTTTTTTTTGCTTATCAGACACAACAATCTGCCCTCCAGAGAGGCATCTCTAATCTTTTGCCTATGATCATTTCTTTTTTGGCAGCACTGGGATTTGAACTCAGGGCTTTGCGCTTCCTAGACAAACGCTTTCCCACTTAAACCACTCCACCAGCCCTGCCTCTGACCATCTCTTTCTTGATTGTAGTTTTACAGGCTTGGGATTTTATCTTCACTCAGTGACCCAAAGAATAATGGACTGTCATTACCCTAGCTCAGATATTTCTGCTCTTCAAATCTAACATCTACATGACTTGCACTAAAAACACAGCAAAACAAAACTCTAAGGAAGCTCTAACATGATCTTTTCCCCTTGTGTTTCACCAAGTCACCAATTGCAGTCAGAGTTTCATAGAAGCCAGGGAGTGTGGTAGCCTGACTTGTGAATTTGACAATATTGTCACTGCCTCTGTAAACATTCCCAGTGCACTAATGGTGAGAAATGGGCCATGGCTAACCAGAGAGAAGCCACTCACCCTGCATATACTACACTCAGGTTATTGAAGGTACATTTAGCAAGCACACAACATATGAGTCTTGCTGGAAAAAGAACTCTTCATTGTGTATGTGTTTAATACCCTGAAACTCACAGTTATGCTGTGACATAGTTTTTTTTTAATTAAATGGCCCAATGTATGCACATATGAATTAAAAAAAACCAAACTCAAAAACTTCCAAAAGTTGTCATTCCCAAATAATCATGAGCCTTCTTGTATTTCTATGTGGCACTGGGAATGATATTTGCAGAAAATGGTTAGTCGCCAAGGAAATGACCTGTCTTCCACATCCCCTCACTGCATGCACTCAGGACCTTATGTTCAAGGCCTCTCTGAGTCAGTGAGTGTGGAACCATGTGACATGACCTCAGAGGAAATCATTAGGAGGAGCAGGTGAAACTTGTAAAAATAATGTGTGGAGGAGCCTTGTTGCTTTTCATCCATGGCTCTCAAAGCTTTTCCAAGCAGTAATTCTTTCTCACAATACTCTTGTGAATTAGGTAAAAATCATTAACTCCCACTTACAGATGTAGAAATCAAAAGAGCCAAGTATGACTTCCCATGAAAGGAAAGGAATAAGAGGTTTTATATCCTTTCATAATGAAGTCCAAATGTCAGTTGGATCAACAGAATCACCTAGAGAGTTTTAAAAATTATCCAGAGTGCACCAAGTATGGGAGCATATGCCTGTAATCCCAGCACTCAGGAGGCAGAGGCAGAAGGATCCCTGAGTTGTAGGCCAGCCTGAGCTCTATAGTGAGAAACTGACTCAAAAAAATAAAATCAGGGTGACTCGAGACCAGGAGGACAATTTGAGGCCAGCCTGGGCAAAAAAGGTTGCCAGACCCCATCTTAATCAATAGCAGGGTGAGGTGGTGAGCACCTGTCATCTCAAGCTACACAGAAGGCTGAGATCAGGAGGATCAAGGTTCCAGGCCACTCGGGAAGTAGAGGAAATTAGTAAGACCCCATCGCAATGAAAATGTTGAGTGTGGCAGCACACAACCTGTCGTCCCAGCAATGCAGGATGCCTAAAATAGGATTGTAGTCCAGGCCTGGGCAAAAAGCACAACCCTATCTCAAAGTAAGAAGAGCAAAAAGTGCAGGAGGCATGGCTCAAGCAGTAGAGCACCTGCCTAGCAAGTGCAAAGCCCTGAGTTCAAACCCCAACTGGATTCCACCCTCCCAGATTCTGATTTAATTGGCTTGGAGTCAGGCGGGTCCATGGGGGGTTAAAGTCCCCATTTAGCACGGCTGTGACGGTTGAGAACCACATCGTTTGACAATTGTTTGGAACTGTTTCCTGCATGGATCCACCTAGATATATCCTGAGAGTGCCTCAAATTCAACATTCTCAATCTATCCCCAGACTTGCTCCCCCTTGTGTGTCTTCTGTCCCTGTGACGGCTCCACCATCCAGACCGATGCCATTCTTGCTTCTTTTCTCTCCCTTTGTTCATTCAGTCACAGAGTTCTGACAGTTCTGCCTCCCACATATTACTTGGATTTATTCACTCATCAGTTCCAATTTGAGCCAGGACATTTCAATTTTCTCCCTGTCTCTAGCCTTCCTCCCCTCTATTCCATTCTTAGCCAGAGTGATCAGTCCTACCTTTTTTTGGGAGCCCCTTTGCAAAAATAGGATGATCTCTTAGCCTTTACCCCTACTGCCCAACATATTTTCTCCAGTCATTTAGAACCTGGTCCTTAGATCATGTTCTTATGTTTGCACATGCTTGTCCCTTGGTTTAGGTCATCTTTCCACTCCTACCTGCTCACCTTTTTCTTTCCTTGAAGACAGCCTAATGCTGTCTAAATGCCCAGTAGTATGACTAAATGCTCTTCTCTGTCCTCCCAAAGCAATTTGTATCTGTCCTGTCTACACCTGTGGCAGGCAATGCTGAACGTGATATGGAAATATCAGCCTGGGGCCACTGATGAGGACCAGTGGGTACACCTGGCTTGTAGGAGGCCTAGATTGGGATTCTGGCTTTAGTAAGACAGCTGTGTGCACTTGAGTACTACCATTTCCTCTCTGTAAAACCATCTTCTCATCTGAAAATATAGGTCATTAAATCTACAGGATCTTTAGGTTCCTTAAAGCTCCAGATTCCACAACTCTGATAGACATGTCAGAAGCGAATGTATGTTCTCCATTTGTGTTAGTTTTTCTTCTCAATTCTCTTCCTGAACCCTTTCATCATGACCTTATTTTTCCTGAACCAAGTATTTCTTCTAGTTTCTTTCTCCTCTCTCTTCATTCTGATGTCTGACCTTCCATTCTCAGCCTCTCCTCTTCTTCCAATTTGTGCATTCCTTCATCCTCTCCAGATTTTTTTTGCATCTTCCTCCCTCTGTCCTTTTTTAGCCTATTCTATTCCCATAACTTTCTTAGACTTCATTCTAGTCTCATTGACTCCTCCTTTGTGCATGCTTGTCTGTGATTCTGAGCCCTGTTCCTCTCTTTGCCAGTTCATGAGATTCATTCATCTCAGTGCATGCAGCTCTGCAAAGCCCCTAGCTGTGGTCCTTCTGTCTTTGACAGGAGGCTCAGAGGGGAGTGTAGACTTCCAGACCACAAAGCCCTGGACCTCTCTTCCTGATAGCTGGCACAATTCTAGAGTTGGAACACCTTAGAGAGAGAACTACCCTTGGAGAGTTTTCCTCCAAAAGCACAGTTTGAACATTGTTTTTCACAGGGACACGCTTTTAGACTGGGTAGCGAATGATGTTGGTTTAATTCTGCCTTCACCAGTCCAGCAATACAGTATAAGGATAGTGTGGACCCCTAGCGTTCAGAATGAGTTACTGCACCGCCAGGGATTTGAGGACAACGGTTTCAAAATTTCATTTGTGGTCTAAGTAATATGTCATATGGGTATTTGCAAATATTTGTGTTCAGTGATTCGTCTGATCACACAGTTTAGAAAAAGAGCCATGAAAACAGGACTAAATTCGTTGTACATTTACCCTCTCTCTACCCCAGGGTTTTTCAAACTCAGCAGTATTGACATTTTGATGTAGATAATTCTTTGTTGTGAGGTCTATACTGTGCAATATATGATATTTAATAGCATTTTGACCTCTACACGCTATTCCAGTTGTGACAAATTGTCCATAGATATTATCAAATACCGCTGTGAAAGGCAAAGTCACCCTCTGCAGAGAACCACCACTCACCCAGCCCTCCATTCCCTGAATCCCTCTGGTGCAGGTAGTTGTACACCCCAATATCTGATTACAACAGGGAATATGAGTCAGAGATACACCAGCTCTACCTTTGTGTCTTCTTACTAGTTGTTTTAAGACAATCAGCTTTCTCTCACTCGCCTATGCCTCCCTGTACTATATTAATATTTAATTTATAATGTTCTCAATATTCATCTATGTTGTATTTTGACAGTATATCCTCCTGTTTTTTAAAGACTGATATCACCATTTATGTACCCATTCATCCACTATTGGACATTTGGGTTGCTTCCATCTCTTAGCTATTGTGAACACTTGCTATGAACACAGGTGTACAGATGTTTTCTTCAACATTGTTTCATTTCTTTTGGATGTAAACATAGAAGTGGGATTGCTGGATCATATGGTAGTCCTATTTTTTAGGAACCTCCATACTGTTTTCATAGTGGTTGCATCTTTTACTAATCCCATTGCACAGGGGTTCCAATTTCTCCACATCCTCATCAACACTGACTTCCTGTATGAGGTATGAGTGATATTCATTGGGATTTTGGTTTTCATTTCCCTTATAATTCATTCCTGTATTGGGAGCTTCTTTTCCATATGCGTCTGTCCTTTTGTAGATCATATTTAGAAATATGTCTGTTCAAGTCCTCTGCCCATTTTTTTAAACTGTGGAGTTTTTAATTTTTTGTGACTGAGTTGTGGAGCTCAATGTGTATTCTGGATATTGGCTCCTTACAACATGATTTGCAAATACTTCTCCCACTTAATAGATTGTCTTTTCACCTGGCTGATTGTCCTTTAATGCAGGAAAGTTTTTACATTGAAAATAGCCCCATTTATCTATTTTAGCTTTTGCTATCTGTGCTTTTGGTACTGTGACAATCCTGATGTTATGAAGCTTCTCCCCCTGTATTTTTTCTTAAGAGTTTTATCATTTTCAGTCTTATTTTTATGTCTTCAATCTGTTTTGAGTTAATTTTTATATATGGTGTAAGATAAGGGTCCATTTCATTCTTTTATGTATGGATATCTTGTTTCCCTGGCACTTTTGTTGAAGAGACTTTCCTTTCCCCCAGAGAATGGTCTTGGCATCCTTGTCAAAGGTCTTTTAAGAAAATGGGGGTTAGTAGTCTGTATTTAGCACTAGATGTAGATTTTGCTGCTCTTTGGAGATATTCTTTTCTTTTTAAAGGGGGTATAAGTGAAGGAGACCACATCTTTTAAGAATTTCATAGAAATTGTACTAAACAATAATTAACTGGTAGAAAAAATTCTGATTTTTTTCCTAGAACCTCTATTTTGGGTCTTTATTGAGGATAGCCTAATGTATGTCACACTATATTAGGAATGTGCTAGGATGGTTCTCAAAATGTGGTCCACAAAACCCTGGAGGTATCCCTGACCTATCAAGAGAATCCCCAGATTTCACTGTGCTCATGATACTAAGATATTATTTGCCTTTTTCACTGAGTTGACATTTGCACAGCTGATCCAAAGGCAACTGTGGGTAAAACAGGTACCTTAGATTCCAGCTAGTGATGACTAACTGTACCCGTGGTCATTGAAGTCTTCATCACCACACACTTGCCGTAAGAATGTTAGCCTCACTTAAGAATGTTCTTGATGATGCTGTAGAAAATGATTAGTAAGTCTTGAGCCAGATATGGTGGTGTACGTCTGTAATCCCAACCCTCAGGAGGCTAAGATAGGAAGATCTTAAGTTTAAGGTCAGCCTGGCCTACATAGTGAATTCCTCCCTCAATAAGCAAACAAAAATTCAAACAGACAAATAAAACAAGCATCTTAACCCTTGAGTCTGTGACTTTTTCATACCATGTTCCAAACTGGAAGTGCTTCTATTACATACATCAATGGCTGATTAGGGAAAAGAATTTGTGTGATGTCACTTTTTTTTTTCATGAAACACCATTTTTACTTGGCAGATTGGGTAACAACTGTTGTTATCCAGACTTGAATATTTGGCAGGTATTTTCCAAAAGGAACAAAGTGTTTCACTTCTGGTAAACACCAGAGATTATTTATTAGTTGACAATCATTAATCTTGAGGCTTCAAGCCATAAGCTTGGCAGCTCCACAATACTTAGAAAACTTTCTGTGGAGACAAGGAGTGACATTAATAAATGTATGTATATGTTTAAAATCCCAAAACAAAATATGACAGGATTTGAAGATTGACATGACCACCCATGGTAAAAGATTCATTCAATGGATTTTTAATGTAACACAGTATGAAAATGCATTAAGTTTCTGATTCCACAGTGCCACATATCTTTTAAAAATAACCTCTTTTCTTGGTGGTTCACACTGGTAATCCTACCTACTTGGGAGGCTGAGATTGGGAGGATCACAGTTCAAAGTTAGCACAGGCAAACAGTTCTTGAGACCCCATCTTCAAAATAACCAGAGCAAAATGGGACTGGAGATGTGGCTCAACTGGTAGAGTGCCTGCTTTGTGGGTGTGAAGCCCTGACTTAAAAACCTCAAACAAACAAAACAACCTTAAAAAGCAAAAAGATAAAAAGAAAAAAATATATTTTTTAAATATCAGCACTTGAAAGCTGGGCATGAATGGTGGTGCACATTTATAATCCCAGCACTTCAGAGGCTGAGGCAAGGGGATCCCAAGTTTGAGGTCAGCCTGGGCTATACAGTGAGATCCTGACTGGGGTTTGGGGGTAGGAAAAAGGCACCTACTACATTTTCGTATAGTATCAAAGAATATCCACAATTACATAAAAAGACTATTCAAACACTTTTCTTTTTTCCAACGACCTGCCTCTAATTTGGGTGGTCTTCCTTTATATACTTTCACCAAAATAAGACATTGCCACAGATCAAATACGGAAGTAGATATGAGAGTCCAGTTGTCTCTTGTTTAGTCAGACATTAAAGAAACTTGCAAATGTGTAAAGTAATGCCATACTTTCTATATTTTGGGGAGGGGTGGGCAGAGATGAATTTTTTAACTTAGTGTTATTTATGTTAACATGTAATCAATTTATTAATGTTAATTTTATTCTTATTTTTTGTTTCACAATGTAACTTTAATGTCCTATACTTGAAACATTTGTAAAAAAAGACTGATTTGTCCTCCAATTATTGTAGCCAGATAAAATTAGCACATCCAAATGAAGTGGTACATATAAAACTAATCCAGTGATGGATAGCTTACACTTTCATAGTGTAGGAAATGGCAGAGGGATGGAGGACATGCAGAATCTTTATTCCATAGTCACATTCAGTACGATTATTATTATTATCACTTATTATTGTACAGGGGGCCCATTGTGACATTTACAAAAGTTCTTACAGTATATCACAGTTGAATTCAACCCCTCCATCATTCTCTTTTATCCCCTCTCCTCCATTTTTAGAATAGTTTCAGCAGGTCTCATTTTTCCATTTTCATGCATGAGTACATAATATTTCTACTACATTCAACCTCCTTCACCCTTTCCTTACATCCTCCCTTAATGTCAGTTTTAAATGAATTAATAACATTTTTAAAAGCTTCTTGGATTGAATTTCTAATATAGAGCATAATGATAGATATAACCCACATAAACAAAAGCTTCTTGGGTGATTGAACCCAGGGCCTTGCACATGCAAGTCTCATGCTCTACCATTGAGCTGTACCCCCCAGCAATTTTTAAGACTATAAAGAAGTGAAGAGACCGAAAAGTTTGAGATATTCTGTGTTACCAGTGCTGAGGATCTAGATAAAGTTCCTCAATGGTGATCCAAGATTGGTCAAAGAAGGAGAACATTTTTCATATAGAACAATGTTAACCACTGGCAACTTTAATAACATTCTTTCCAGATGGTGATGGAAAGTGGGGATTGGCTGGTTGGTGGAGACCTTCAGGTGCTGGAGAGAGTAAGGTGGAATGATGGGTTGGATCAATACCGCCTGACACCTCTGGAACTCAGACAGAAATGTAAAGAAATGAATGCTGGTATGTATGCTGACTCGAATGCATTTGTGAATACTCCTTACCACCCTCTGAATAAAAAGTTAAGGATATCAGCAATAAGCATTTAAAAAAAAAAAGAACACATCTATTAACATGTCTATGATATAGAAAGTTTAAATCTGTACTGTATTCACATACTGGAGAACTCTGCAATAGTTTAAAGCGTACACTGACACAGAAAGATACCTAAAATGTATTCATTAAGGAAAAAAGCAAATTGCAGAACAGTATGTATAGCACAATCATATTTTTGAAATCAAATAGTTTTAAAAACCCTAGCCTGTTTGTGCATATAGATGTGCCAAACAGCTGATGACAACAGCTACCACTTAAGGGGATGGAACTGAACCAAGGAGAAGGGGAGATTTTCATATCTTACTCTATACATTTTGAAAGAAGAGAGCAAAAAAGTAATAGGATTATTGGTTGTTTTCATTTTCTGTTTTGGGCTTTTATATATTTCCCAAGTTTTCCACAATGGGTATCTATTAACTACATTTCAGAACCAGAAAGAAAAAAAAAAAAAAGACTTTCACAAGTGTGTCACTAAGTGGAGTAGTCCTGAAGATTTCTTTAAAGTGAAGGTGAAGGTGTTTTTATATCTGTGGATTGTTGGCCTATGCAAGGGCTCCAGAAAACATTGCTGACAATTATTCATCCTCCTCCAGAATGAGACTAGAACCTGAGCCTTGCTTTACGGGAACCATCCTGGCAGAAGTTGTTTTCAGTCCTGAGTCATGCTCTCCCTTATTATGCATTATGTTCTCCAGCTGATTATCAAAAGCAAATGCACTTAGTGAATGCTCTGAACAGTAAACATACTTTGGTTTTCCCTTCTGTCCTCGTGAACAGGCAACACTGTGTGTTTCTTTGACCTCAGCTTTTCTGTTTTTCCCAGATGCAGTGTTTGCATTCCAGTTGCGCAATCCCGTCCACAATGGCCACGCTTTGTTGATGCAGGACACTCGCCGCAGGCTCCTGGGGAGGGGCTACAAGCAACCCGTCCTCCTGCTCCACCCTCTTGGGGGCTGGACCAAGGATGACGATGTGCCTCTGGACTGGCGGATGAAGCAGCATGCAGCTGTGTTGGAGGAAGGGGTCCTGGATCCCAAATCAACCATCGTTGCCATCTTTCCATCTCCCATGTTGTATGCTGGCCCCACAGAGGTAAGCCATGCTCTGAGCTGGGTTATGGCCCAGAGCACATGCTCAAACTTTATTCAGAAGAGTAAATGGGTCTCTGGGATCCTTTGTCCTCATGAGCAGATTTCTAGGATCTTCTGGCCTCTCTTCCTTTTCCAATTTAATAATATTTCCATTTTAGCAGGGCACAGTGCCCATGCCTGTAATCTTAGCTATTTGGGAGGCAAAAGATCGTGAGCATTATATTCAAGGCCAGCCTGGGAAAAGTTTGAGACTTTATCTCAACCAGTAAGAAACCTGCCATGGTGGCACATGCCTGTCATCCTAGCTACTTGGATGCATAAATAGAAGGGTCACAGGTCAGACCAGCATAAACATATACGCAGCACCCTATCTGAAGGAGAGTGGTAGAGGGGGTGAATTCAACAATGATATATTGTAAGAACTTTAGTAAATGTCACATTGTAGCCCCAGTACAACAGTAATACAATATAAAAAGATCCTACTTGAAAAATAGCTAAAGCAAAAAGGACTAACGGCATGGTAGAGCATCTGCCTAGCAAGCACAAGGCCTTGAGTTCAAACCCCAGTATCACCAAAATAATAATACTAGTGTTTCCATTTTGTATTTGTAAAGATGCTAGGAACATCAAGTCAAACCTATCATACATTGCCTTGAGAATATGGAGGTTGGCATGTGAATGGAGGAGGTTATGAAGTTATCTGGGTTATAGGGCAAGTTCTATCTAACCTAATATTTACTAGTTTCAATTACTCTGAATGATCCACCATGCCCTGTGGACATTTTGAAAAGATAAGGTCTCCCTTTCAATATAACACAGTAAGCCCATTGAACAGAGAGTTTAATGAATTAATCCTCTTTAGTCATATCAAAGTTCTAGACCCCTAGCTTCCTTCTCCAGCCTTTGTATTTCTGTCTGCACTTTAAAGAGAGCGAGTTTTGTGTTGAACTGAAAGGTAATTAGTTCACTACTAGCAGTTGGATAATGAGATGTTGGAGTTTGTAATTTGCTTTAAACCGATTTATCTGAAGGAGAAGGGAATGGAAAGTAAAATTCACATAGTTCGGTATGACAATAAGTTCTGAGCATCACTGGTCTGCTACCTGTTTGGAGAAGAGAGTAGGAAATACAACCTTGAGGTCTAAGAAAAGGATTCCTGTGATTCATATCTTTCAAGCTCCTATCCACCCAATATTTCAAAGTCTGAAGAAGAGCGCACACAGCCTTAGGACTCACTGCCTTTCTTGTGACTTTTTGACCTGCATCATCAAATCACTTTTAAACAGAGTTAAAGTATCCATTAACAGAGGCCCACAGATTCAGCCCATGCTGATCGTCGTGTCCCTTACGTGATGTTTTGTAGGTCCAGTGGCACTGCAGGTGCCGGATGATTGCAGGGGCCAATTTCTACATTGTGGGCAGGGATCCTGCAGGAATGCCTCACCCTGAAACCAAGAAGGACCTGTATGAACCCACCCACGGTGGTATGGTGTTGAGCATGGCCCCTGGCCTCACCTCTGTGGAAATCATTCCATTCCGAGTGGCTGCCTACAATAAAACCAAAAAAGCCATGGACTTCTATGATCCAGCAAGGTGGGTTTTCATAGGAAAATTATTTAATTGACACCTTGCACGATGAGGCAAAAATTTTGCTGTTTGGAAAACACTCCAGTGCATTTTCATATGCTCCCAATTGGGATGAGAGTCAAGACCTTGTCTTTACATTCTGTGCTCCCTGTAGTTATAGATGTCCATTGCATGTAGTAGATGGTCGTAAGTATTCCTTTTGGAGCTGGCGATGCAACTCAGTGGCACAGCACTTGTCCAGCATGCGTGGAGCCCTGGGTTTCAGCTCCAGCACTACAATTTAAAAATTATTTTTTTATTACTCATCCCTTGAACATGCACCAAGTGCCTAGCACATTAAGTGAAAGGAAATGACATAGAAAAAATTTTATGAATATTTATGGTGCACTCACTCCCATGCTGAGTGCTCACAGAAAGTTGGCAGAGATATAAAAGACAGCCCCTGGCCTCAAGATACGTCTTTGAACAGAATAGGTACAGAGTAAATATTGACTACCAAGCTCGGTTATTTCCTTCTTCTACAAGTTCCTGACCTGAAGATTTAGAGAACTACCCATTTTCAATGATGCAGCATTTTACAGAAAGAAAAAAAAATTCGTAACTCATTCCAGGAATCTGTAAGGCCGAAAGTACTTACCTACACTGAGTTCTTTTGTTGCAATACTGTGACAGGCACAACGAGTTTGACTTCATCTCAGGAACTCGTATGAGGAAGCTCGCCAGGGAAGGAGAAGATCCCCCAGATGGCTTCATGGCCCCCAAAGCATGGAAAGTCCTGACAGATTATTACAGATCCCAGGAGAAGATCAACTAAATGCCCTTGGGCTCTAGAGTCTCTCTCTGAAGTGCTCTTTGATTACTTTTTCTATTCTTGTGATTAGATGCTTTGTATCCAATTGCTTCTCAATGACTGATTTTAAAGTTAGTATTCTATAATGAAGTAAAAATGTGCCTATAATTTATAAACAACTTCATTATATATTTTAAAGTCAAACAGAAGACTAAATCTTAGCAGGTAAAAGTAATACTATTAGACATTTGAGAATGAAATTAGCTGTGTTCTCTACTGCATCTGAGCAGGTAGATCCCAGATTTCTTAAAACTTTGACCATGTGTCTAGTTTACTTGCCAAAAAGTGAAGCATGTTTTCCAACTTAATCTTTCTAACCTGCAATCCCCCATGTCACATACCAGTAGGAAGATAAATCAGATGAACAGCCCCTTTTATACAACGACCAATATATATAAATATACACTATGTATTTATATATAATCATTTTAAATGAGATGTGGCTTACATCAAGATTCTCGCTAATCTTTTGCCTCCTGACTGTACACAGCCTTACTCCCCAGTGTCCTAAGTGTTGAAGACCTGATGGGAGAAACCAAATGTGCAATAATGTGAATTTAATCTTAGAGACCTATGCAACCTACTTCTGACATGAAAGTTAGCCTAATACGAAGAGAAGCCTTAATGGCCTGTGCATAATAACTCCAGTTAAATGGTGACTTTTAATAGTGTACAGTGCTCTGATGAAAGGATTTGTAGCAAGGGATCAAACAATCTGTCCATACCATGAAAAGTTATTTTCCCTCCTTTGCTGCAATCATTGTGTGGCCTACAAAGAGGCTGGGCCTATCTGCAGCAGCATCACCTGTAACAAAAATCATTGAGGAGCTGGCAGGGCGCTCAAACTGGAAATGACGGCGGGAAACATCAAATCTGAACTTTTCATCTTAGTGGTGAAGAACCCGAGACAATATACATGCAATGTGCTTTGTGCACTGAAGTGTACTATAACCAACACACAGAATTGGTATTAGCAAGTGCTGGTGGCACTGCATGAATGCCCAGGTCACTTGACTCCCAATTTGGTGCTCTGTTTACACCAGAAAAAACAGGAGCTGAGTCTGAGTCTCTTCAGCTGCTTAATGCTCCTTGGTTGGAGGGTGCTTACAAAGCAGCCTTCCTGGATACCAAAAGGTGCAGGGTTTTCTAAACTCCACTGATATTACTGTAGTTGAAATACAAACATTTCCAAAGACTCAGCTGTTCTAAGGTATCCTCTGGTGGTTTTATTTCCTGAGAGGTAATCTTTTGTACTTTATGGCACTTTTTATACCTGGGTCTCTCTGGAAGAGACTTAACTGGAAAGAGAAAACTGTGATTTTTTTTTTACCCTAATCATTTTGTAAATGCTAAGTAATAAAAGTTCTTTTGAGAATAAATTACATACAATGGCCAGCAAAGTTTGTTTTTTAACAGTATAGTGCCTATATTCATTTAATCAGAGGGAGCCACTTTTGCCTTTTTAAAAAACAGCATATTTATTGAAAACATGAGCAAGACTGTAGTGCCTTACCAAATGTATTCTATGATCTTCATAAACATATTTTAAACTGCTCTTTGGCTGTATTACCACACCTGGTGCAGATGACTACTTCTGTGTACAACGGATGCTTAATCTTATTTTAATAAATTTCTCAAAACAAAAGCTGAGTCTTCTGTTCTTTGTAACACCAAGTGTGGGCTGGCCACATGGCTGCTGACAGTGTGTGACTTTGTGTAACTGGAAAGACAGCAGCAACAACTCTCCTTAGGACCATAATTCAGAAAGCGTTTGGCCTTGCTTGTGTCATTTTCTAACTTCTCCTTTAGATGTAAAAGACTCATGATCTCAGTCAGGAACTTACCTCCATCTTTTCAGGGGTAACTGTGTTGTTCAGGGGCCTCTCCCTGCAATTTCACTGCAAGAGGACTTGGCTTTTTCCTCCTTCCATTTCAGAAGCTGAAGCTATCTTCCTTGCTTCCTTTTTCTCATAGGACCAGATTGTGTTCTCAAAGTGTCTCCATGGAGTTTCACCAACAGGCTTAGAAATAGTTGAAGGTTTTTTTTGTTTGTTGTTTTCTTCTCAGCCATCCCCATAACGCCACTAACCTGAGCAGCTGCTACTTTTGTAGGCACAAATAAAAGTTTCCTGCTTCCATCATGCTTTCAGTGGCCTTCAGGCATGCAGGTTTGTTTTGTTTCTTCTTAAGTGATACTCACTTCTGTTCTGAAGACTTCATGCATTTTTTTGCTACTGATCCTCACCCTAAATAAAGCCAACTCAAAGCTGTAATTGGTAGCCCCTCTCATTTTGTATCTAGATCTTGTGGCAATTAGCAGAACAGAGTAGGTATGTAAATCCACAGAGGTGGAAGTGGTGCTGAGGGAGTACTCCAAACTGTTCAAGGCAGTATGAAAAAAATCCTGGAAAAGCATATGTAAATCATTTGGTAAAATAATGGCAGAATTTATAATATATCAGCTTTAGCAGACCATGATATTTCTTTCCAACCCCTTTGCCTTCCAAGAAGAAACAAACTTTGAGTGCTTGATAACAGCAAGTTTGTTGTTTCTCCTCATCTTTCTCTTCTCTGTTACCCACTTTTAGGTCTAGCATGACTATCAACATGGTCTTCCTTATAGGCAGGAAACCAAGATATTAGATAGGCACTAGACAGGTCAACTGTTCTTATGTCCAAAGGTTTGAGGGAATTATGATGCAACATTTGCCTATGAGATCTTTGAATGAGGCACAGGTTACAGAGACTGTATACAGACGTTGAAAAAGTAACCTTTTACTTAACTCATTGGCATGATTTAGTTCTTTGGGCTGCTCGTTACACATTCACCAAATGGTAACAGTGATAACCAAGCAACTTGACAATATGCTCTCCAAATGCCTGCCTATTTTTTTTTTTGCTTATATTGTAATTTTATTGAAATTATTATTAAAAGCAAGTGGGTAACTTGCTAGAGCTTGGACATTTTAATTTGATTCTAGAAAAAAAATGTATACTTTTCTGTGAGGCTAGCAAAGAGCAGTAGATGCAAAAATTCTTCATGAACTGGCTTCCAGAGAGAAGAAGCAAACAGAGAGCCTTGCCTTGGCATTTCTTAACAGTTGGGCTGGACTCCTGCATGTGGATATGGTGGGTTGGAAGTAGGCCTGATCTAGATGAGGAGACTTTCCAGGGATGTGGAGAACTCAGCCAGGACTCAGGCAGTAGGGTGCTGTTGAGATAGGCTGAATCTAGAAACACTGCCTGTAAACTGCTAGGCTAAGCAACACTCTCCCCTGAATTTTGCCAAGAACATGCCAGGAGATGAGCTGGATGTCTTATGCATTCTCAAGGTGACTAGATTCCAGAACCTCTTAAAATTAAAAGACAAGGAAGAGTCACAAACATCCAAAGCTGCAACCCAAATCCCTCCTAGCTCCAATACCAACAAGATCAAAAGGCTGCCACATGGGTGGGTAGGGGTTTGGCTAAAACTGGTCACCTCCATCTAATTAAAGCCTCAACCCAGATCCAGCATAACTGGGTCTAGGAGGAACAGGTATGGTCAGCTGTTCATTCTATTAAAGGAAGGGGCTTATACTCACTGGAAATAAAATATACCGGAGTATTATACTTGTTTATAGTGTCCTTATATCCACTATTTGTAACAAAAATTTAAATTCACAAATTAAAAAGTTACATATCTAGGCGGAACTGGGCATGCTAAGCAGCATCAATTGGAGGAGAACTTAGGGGATCCCATCGAACAATTCCTGGCAGCCTGTCCACACAAACCACATATTGCAGGTTGCTCACACTTCCATCATACTCACCTTTTATATTGTCCTTCATTAAACAAATTATCTATGGCTTCAAGTGATCAGCTGGTCATTTGTTATTTTTTGTTTGTCTAGAACTCTCCCCATAACACATCTTCTTTGGAATTAATTACCTTTTTTCAATTTAGTCTTGATGAGTCAGTAAATCCACATACTTGCTCTCAACCCATTTAACCCAAGGAGTTACCAGAGTTCCTTTCCTTGTGAGTGGGGGATGTAAACAGTTCATTTAATCCAGAGGAATAAAAGCAAGCCTACTGAGCAATTTCTGTTTAAAAAGCAAAAAAAGTCTTCTGGAGCTTTCCAAGTTTCTGATTCTGGTTCTTCAGCTTCCCTTTGATCTCATGAGCTCCCCATACTATTCAAATAAATTCTTTATGTCCTAGGCTAGAGTTGGTTGCTTCCAACAGAATCCTAATTGTCATTCTTTATAAGTTTATGACTACAGCCTAATAAATGACCCTCATCTTCCTTAGTCATGCCTGCAAAAGACTTCTTTTACTAGATGATACAGTCATCCCCATTTGAGTGTCTTGATCATTCTCATAATTTCTGGAATGTATGCATTTTCAGAACACATGGTATACACTACAGTGTTCTATTTCTCCGTTCCAAGGAAATATGAGAATATAAGGAAACATAACTCCTCCAAAACACAACAACTCCACATAACAAATGCTAACAATAGTGAAGTTGATGAAGCCTCAAAGAATTTTTTAAAAGTAGGGCCAGTGAGTGTGGCTCAAGTGGTAGAGCACCTGCCTAGTAAGTGTGAGGCCCTGAGTTCAAACCCCAGTACCACCAAAAAAAAAAAAAATCTGTTGAAGAATTTTTAAAAAGTGATTATAAGAGTGATCAGTGAAATTAAATAGGACATGAATAAATACCTGAATGAATTTCAAGAAAACTCAAAGAGCTGAATGAAATACAGAAGACAAGGGAGGAAATGAAAGAGGAATTCAATAAAGAAATAGAAATTCTGAAAAAATCTAAATAAATAATTCTGAGAATGAAAAGCTTTACAATAAGTCAAATAAAAATCTCAGTTGAAAGTCTCTCCAGTAGACTAGATCAAATTCAAGACAGAATATCAGGCCTTGAAGACAATGTAGATGTAATAAAGCATGCAGATTGTGATAAAGGTAAAAACTATAGAATTACTAACAGAACATGCAAGACCTCTGGGACACCATTAAAAGACCAAACTTATGAATCATGGGCATAGAAGAAGGAAAAAAGGTATAAGATAAAGGCTTAGAAAACATTCAACAACAAAAACAAACAGCTGAAAACTTTCTGATTTTGAGAAATCAAAACTTTCTGATTTTGAGAAATCAAAACTTTCTGATTTTGGTCATCCAGGTATAGGAGACATAGGACTCCAAACAGTTTAGACCATAAAAGAGCCCCCCCACACACACACATATTATATGATAGTTAAAACATGAGGTATATAAAATAAGGAAAGAATATTGAAAGATGCAGAAGATAAGCCTCAAGTCACCTATAAAAGGAAACCCATCAGAATGACAGATTTCTTTAAAAGAAACTTTAAAAGTAAGGAGGACAT